GCTCAGCGCCTTGTGTAAGCCACGCAGGTGGCAAGAAAGGGGGCTCCGTAAAGGCGGCTTGTATTTGTCGTGGGAGCTTCTGGCAAGTCTGGAAGAAATGAAGCTTTGGGGGTTTTAGTTTTAGCTGCCATCTAGCCGAGGGCTGGCTCTGAGCGTGATGTTCCCTGGCCCCGTCCTCTCTGTTCCCCGGCCCTGTCCTCCCTGCATTGGTGTGAGATGGCACCATCGATCAGCTGCCTCCTGCACGCCCCCCACTGGGGGTGGAGCCGGCACCCGGGCATGTGTCCTGACCAGGAATCGAGCTGGTGACCTTTCAGTGCATGGGCCGAGGCACAACCCACTGAGCCACCCTGGCCAGGGAGGTTTTTACATTTCTTAATGACTGCAAAACAACTGAAAGGAGGAAGTTTTGTGACAAATGAAGGTGATATGAAATTCAGATGTCAGTGTCCGTACATCAAGCGCGAGTGACACACAGGCCCAGTCACTGATTTGTGTGTTGTCTCTGGCTGCTTCTATGGGACAATGGCAGAGTTGGGTCCTCCTGACGGAAGCCGTGTGGCCCACAAATCTTCCAATATTTGTTATCTGGCCCTTTAAGAGAAACAGTTTGCGGGTAGAAGAGCAGAGAGAATGAATAGATGAGAACTACACTCAACAACATGGCCGGATGCTACAACATCATGTAGAACAAAAGAACTGGGGCACGTAACACCCCATTTCTATAAAGTTCAAAACCAGGCAAATGGAGATCAGGAGAGTGGCTACGTGTACGGGAGGGGTAGGGCCAGGAAGCAGCCAGAAAGAGCCTGTGGGGGCTGGCGGCCTCCTGGCCTTTGATCTGGGCGCTGGTAATGTGGGCGCATTCCTTTTGCGAAAAAATGCTTGCAATGCTAACCGCCAGGTAATCCAGACAGTCCCCCAGACCCAGGCCGGCGAGGAGGTCAGAGCCGTGTCTGGAATGTAGCAAAAGCAGGCATGTTAGATTTACGACTTCTGTTTACTAAAACTGCATTTCTACAAAAACCAGACCAGGCTGAGAGATTAGAGATAACTCGGACTGGCCCTGCCCTCGAGCCCCGCTTAATCCCCGTTTCCAGCGTCTGCGTCTGTTTTCCTTTGGTCTGAGGGAGAGAAATTCCCACCGGCAGGCCTGCCTGCGGCCTTGGGCTGTTACACGGATCCCACTGCCTGCAGCTTGCTTTTTGTAGATATTTAGCGGTCTCGTCCCAATCACACATTTCCGTCTCCACTTCTAAGTGTCAAGGCAGTAATGGTCACAGATATTAGGGTAGCTCTTTAAAAACATATTTTTTTATTGGTTTCAGAGAGGAAGGGAGAGGGAGATAGAAACATCAATGATGAGAGAATCATGGATTGACTGCCTCCTGCATGCCCCCGATTGGGGATCGAACCCATAACCCAGGCATGTGCCCTGACCCCGAATTGAACCTCCTGGTTCATAGGTCGATGCTCAGCCACTGAGCCACACCAGCCAGTCTAGGATAGCTTTTGAAGGTGTGAGATTGCCACATGGAGTATCTAAAGTTTTCATCTCACCAACTGTGGACAGGATATTTTTTATGATTTTCTGCGTTGTGATGACTGGCATAAAGAGCTGGCAGGCCCTGGCTGGTTTGGATCAGTGGACAGAGTGTCAGCCCGTGGACTGAATGGTCCTGGGTTCGATTCCGGTCAAGGGCACATGCCTGGCTTGCAGGCTCGATCCCCAGTAGGGGGCGTGCAGGAGGCAGCCGATCCATGATTCCCTCTCATTATTGATGTTTCTCTCTCTCTCTCCCTCTCCCTTCCTCTCTGAAACCAATAAAAGTATATTTTTAAAAAAGAGCTGGCAGGGAAGGTGGCTCTAAAATTTCTGGAAAGTCCCACGGGCTTGCCCAGTATCTGGGCAGAGACAAATCGTTTTTGCTTAATTAACAAACGTTTGCTGGACCCGGAGGGGGTGATGGGCTGGTACTCAGTTTCGGTCCCTGGGTCATGGCCTTGGGGTCCGTCCCAGGACTCGGTGCTGGAGCCCAGGGCGCTGCGGGCCAGCGAGGGTCGGCTGAGGTCGCGCACACGCCTCGCTAGCGGCCTTCCCGCTCGGAATAGCTGCGTTTATAGCTGCGTTTTGTTCCGAGGAAAGACAACAGCCTCTCAGAAGGCAAATACCTCGAGGCGCTCTCAGGGAAAGACACAGCTGGGCAGAGATCATGTTCGACTGCTTTCGGGTTGCCAAGGAGGAAGCCCGGCTCATAGGTGGGTGAGGCAGGCCAGCCACGAGGGCGGACAGGAACCTTCCAGAGAGGACAGGAAGGCCTTCGAGGTGGAGGAAATGCACACTCGAAGGCATGGGCCTAGGCCCCACATGTTTCTCAGAAGCTGGTCCCTCTCACTGGCCTGGAGGGAGCGCCTTTATGCTCGGCCACGGGGTGACCTGCTCAGAGCCCGTCCTGCATCTGGGTCTGCCAGTGGCTTGCGGTCATCTCCTAGAAACCAGTTTTTCCTGTTAATCCTCACCCCAGGGTACTTTTCCCAGTGACTTTTAGAGAGAGTAGAGGGGGGAGAGAAAGAAGGAGGGAGGGAGAGAGAGAGAGAGAGAGAGAGAGAAAGAGAGAGAATGTGAAAGAGAGACATCAATTGGCTGCCTCCCGCACGCACCCCGACCAGGGCCAGGGACTCTGCAACCCAGGTGCGTGCCCTTGACGGGGCTTGAACCCGGGACCCGTCCACTATGGGCCGACGCTCTATCCACTGAGCCACACCGGCCACGGCCACATGAAGTCTTGAACAGAATGTTCATGTCTCAGGCTCTTCCGTCTGCTGGCCGGGCCTTTGTCGGGCTCCCCTGTGGCTCAGCAGCGGCCACTTTACGCTCCCAGCAGCGAGTTTCTTGCCGCCTACACCGCCAGGCTCTCCCCAGCTCATTGCTGCACAAATGAGGAGGGCTCTCCACTTGCTGATCGCACCCCTTCCCTGCATGAGGGGTCCCCGCTACTTCCTTAGGCGACGCAGGCTCCCCTGGGTGCGCATCAGCCCACGGAGTTCGCAGCGTGGCCGGCCCAGCCCTCCCGCTTGTCGCCTGAAAGCGGCCCGGCCCCGCAGCGGGTCAACACATCAGTCGCTGCGGCCACTTTAGTGCTTGTCAGGCGGTTTCCCCGCTTCGCTCCGATTTGATGAAAATGCAGTTTCACTGGGTGGTCGCTGAGCCCTCCGCGCGGACAAACACGTGAAGCAGCGAGAGGGGCCGAATAGAGTATTTTCATAGCTGTCCTCCCCCCTCACCCAGCACTTCTGTGGCTCGCATCCCGTCATTCAAATTTCCCTGCTCCTCCCCAAAGTGCTTTTCTTTTTCTTTTAATTTAATTTTATTGTTTAAAGCATTACCAATAGTAATTTGGCCTCCCCTACCCCCTCCAACATGCCCCCCTCCCCAGTGTCTTGTATCCATTGGTTGTGCTTATATGTGTGCATACAAGTCCTTCGATTGATCTCTTACCTCCTCCCGTCCACCCCTCCCCAACCTTCCTGCTGTAGTGTGACAGTCTGTTCGATGCTGCTCTGCCTCTGTGTCTATTTGTGTTCATCAGTTTATAATGTTCTTTATGATCCATAAATGAGTGAGATCATGTGCTTTTCACTCGGTGCCGGTCCCAGCCCGTGTCTGTGAGCGTGCAGTGCTGCTGAGGGTGGGGGCGCACCCCACCCCGCCCCGCCACCAGGCCTGGTCTGGTCCCCGGGAGCCCCTGGGCCTGCAGCTGGCCTGCCGGTGCCATGCAGTGTGGACGCAGCATCTTGGTTTGTTTGTACAGTGGGGCCTTGACTTACGAGTGTCCCGACTAACGAGTTTTTTGAGATACCAGCTGTCTCTCGGCCGATTTTTTGCATTGAGTTGACAGAGTAATTTGAGTTAATGAGCTCCTTAACGATCTTGGTCTCAGAACGAATTAAACTCGTAAGTCAAGGCCCCACTGTAGTTGTTTTCCGAGGAGGGGAGCAGGAGAGCCTGACTGGGCCTGGTCCCCAGGAAGGAGGGAGCCGTCCACTGGGCTACCCCCAGGCAGCACAGCCCCTTTGCCTGTATTTTAAGGAAAATTCAGCGCGAGCATCTGCACCCCGAGCTGCTTGCCCAGGGCAGCGGGCCGCCCGCCTATGTGGTGCTTGGCTTGTCTTTGTCCGTCCGTTCAGGCTGCCGTCAGGAAATACCCCAGCCTGGCCTGTGTCAAGGTGCGATTCCCGGTCAAGGGCATGTGCCCGGGTTGCGGGCTCGATCCCCAGTGGGGGGCGTGCAGGAGGCGGCCGGTCCATGATTCTCTCTCATCATTGAGGTTTCTCTCTTTCTCTCCCTCTCCCTTCCTCTCTGAAATGAATAAAAATAATTTAAAGCAAACCCAGACATTTCTTTCCCACGGTCTGAAGTCAAGGTGCCAGCTGGTCCGATGGGGACCCTCTTCACAGTCCCAGGCCTCTCGCTGTATCCTCACCACCTCCCAGAGGCCCTCTTCCTAAGTCCCTCACATCGGGGGTGGTCCTGTCATCTGTCTCCTTGTCCACCCCCAGGGCAGCCCCTCGTGGGGAGGGCCAGTGCCCACGCTCCCACCAGCTAGTTCAGGTGTCACCAGCACTTCCGCTCTCCTGTCGCCGCGCATCTTGGGTGTCCAGGGTGACGGCCACATAGGCTGCCCGCTGAGTGGTCTACTTTAGCTCCCACGAGAACCACTGAGCGGTTTGGTGACAATGGCTCGGTTGTGAGTGGATTTCCTGGTTTCCAGAACTGTGGGAAAAACACTTATTTCTCAGAAGCCACCCAGTCCGGGGTACGTTTGTTATAGCAGCTGCTGTTGACTGAGACAGATGGCGTGCGCCTGCTTACAGGTACATCATCGCAGCAGATGCTAGCGGGGTACTTTCCTATATAAGAAAGTAGTGCAAGCGGGTGGTGCCGGGTGTGTGCAGGCTGCCTGCCCGCGTTTTAACTGGTCTCTCCCCCTCCCTCCCAGGTGTGAGTAGCATGGTCACGTGCAGGAGCGATGAGCGGCTCCGGCAACCTCATGGACTTTCTGGATGAGCCATTCCCCGACGTGGGGACGTACGAGGACTTCCACACCATCGACTGGCTGAGGGAGAAGTCGCGGGACACCGACAGGCACAGAAAGGTAGTGGCGTCATGACCGACATGTAGGGGGGACTCCCTCACATGGCCAGGCCGTGCTCCCCTCGCACAGAGAGCGAGCTCAGGCCCACGGCCACGTGTCCTGGGTGGGCTGGGCTCTGAGGAAGGGAAGGCTGTGGGAGAGGCAGAGCTGTGGACAGGTCACTAGAATACCAGGTGCTTGCTCGGCCTGTGTGAGCATCAACCTATGAACCAGGAGGTCACGGTTTGACTCCCGGTCAGGGCACATGCCCAGGTTGCAGGTTCGATCCCCAGCAGGGGGCGTGCAGGAGGCAGACGATCCACGATTCTCATCATTGATGTTTCCCTCTCTCTCCCTCTCCCCTCCTCTCTGGAATCAATAAAGTATATTAAGAAAAACAGCAGGCGCTTTGGGTGGGAGGCCCAGGGGCCTGGCTCTGTAGAGAGAGGAGGCAGGAGGCAGCCAGGAGCCAGGCAGGGCCATTCGGGGAACAGCAGGGGGTGGGGAGGTGGGAACCAGTGCCGGACACTTAGAAGAAGCAGGTAGAGGTGAAGGAGGGGAGCCAGCCAGTGGTCACAGTGAGAGGAGGGCCTGGTGGTGAGGACGGGCCACGGCCAGGTCTCCCTCCACGGAGGCGGACCTACTGTGTGGGGGCTGCCATCAGTCCCAGGGACAACGGCTTCAGAGCGGGTGAGGAGTGACAGCCAGATGCCACCTCATGGCCCGCAATGGCACTGACTCCACGTCTCCCTTCAGAATGGCTTGCGAATCATCAACGCTCAAACCGCACTTAGTGAGTTTGTTTAACCAAGTGGATTAAAAAAAAAAATATTTTTATTGACTTCAGAGAGGAAGGGAGAGGGAGAGAGACAAACATCAATGATGAGAGAGAGTCATGGATTGGCCGCCTCCTGCACGCCCCCTACTGGGAATCGAACCCGTCACCCAGGCGTGTGCCCTGACCAGGAATCAAACCGTGAGCTCCTGGTTCCTAGGTTGATGCTCAACCCCTGAGCCAGGCCGGCCGGGCTGAATGAAGTGGGTTTTTGAAGCAGAAAGCCCACTCGGTCGCGTGGAGGGAGCCGGAGGAGCCGTGAGTGGGAATCAGCCGCTTAGTTACGTGGTCTCCCGAGGGAGGCGCCGGGGAGGAAGCGCGGACTGGGGCCTGTGCCCGATTAACCGCGTGTCTCGTTTGCAGATCACCAGCCGGAGCAAGGAGTCCGTGTGGGAGTTCATCAAGGGCCTGCTGGACGCCTGGTCGGGATGGGTGGTCATGCTGCTCATCGGGCTGCTGGCGGGTACGTGGACGGGCACCCCGGGAGGCGGGCGCGGGCCCAGCGCAGCTGCTGGGATGGCGTTCTGGAAACAGTGTTTCCCTCGTATCCCATGCGGGGCAATCCGTGCCTGATCCATCCGAGAGTGAGACACAGGAGCATACAGGACATGTCAAGGCTGTCACCGTCGGGCGGGGCTCCGGTGTGGGCATGGCCGAGCTGTGATTGGGGTGCCGGCCAGCTCTGTGCAGTCCGCAGGCGTGTGGCCACCCATTTCTCCCAGCCGATCCCTGTCTCCCACTGGCATGCCCAGTGAACTTGAGCTTGTGGATATAGGGTGCATCGCCACCCATTTGTTTGACCGCTTCTATGAAGGCCTTTGACGGTAGATGGGGTGGGAGCTGGCTGTGAATTTTGATGTCTTTGTTTAGAACAGATTTGTATTTTTATTTATTTTTTTAAAATATATTTTATTGATTTTTTACAGAGAGGAAAGGAGAGAGATAGTTAGAAACATCGATGAGAGAGAAATATGGATCAGCTGCCTCCTGCACACTCCCTACTGGGGACGTACCCACAACCCAGGTACATGCCCTTGACCGGAATCGAACCTGGGACCTTTCAGTCCGCAGGCCGACGCTCTATCCACTGAGCCAAACCAGTTATGGGCAGATTTTTAAAACCATTCACGGTGTCATTACCCTCGGCTCCTAGGAAGGAGAAATGAATACAGAAATAAAGAAATGCAGAAGAGACGTTCTGGCATCTTGGAGTACACCGCGCAGGTTAGATGTATTGATTAATTTGAGAGCCTGACCAGGCTGTGAGCGGGCTGTCTTTAACCCGATATTGACCAGTTGGCTTCACTATCAATCCGATTTCCGCCAGTTCTTTTTAAGGAGAATCACTTGGGAATTAAAAAAAAATATTGCTGCTTGGGCTTCCATCAGATAGTGTATTTGGAGATGACGCCCTAGCATCGAGCAAAGACCCCCTCCACTTCCTCCTGCTCCTCCTGTGATACTAACGTGCAGCCAGGGTGAGAGCCACAGGAGAAGGGGGACCCCTGCTCACGTCAGCAAGTGAGGAGGAGGAAGGTAAGAATGAGCGGATACTGCCAGTGCCGAAGTGCTCTTTTGATCTGGATGTACCTTGGAAGGAAAGCCAGGAGACTGTGTCCCATTCACCTCCCTGTTGTCCAGTTGGAGGAGAGGACTCAGGTGTCCCACCGCCTGGCCTGTCATCTCCTTAGTGGCATCCTAGACATTACATTCTGACTCCTGAGATGCAGAGGTCCAGGGTCTCCTCTGCCGTGCAGTTATAAGAATTCATCAGTAGATGTCGCTGTTGTATCACAAATGGAAATATCAAGGAAACATTAACGCTGCATTTACTATGAATCACCACCAGATGTCACTGTTGCTCCACGGAACGAAACATTCACCAAACATTTATTACGAATCACCACTGGGTGTCACTGTTGCTCCACGGAAAAAACATTCACAAAACATTTATGGGGAATCGCCACTGGGTGTCACAGATACTCCATTCATAGAAGGAAGCTGAAACTGCCAGCTCTGTGAGAAGAAGTCAGCCAGGAAGACTGGGTGTGGGATAATGTGATTATGAATGAGTGAATGGTGGCGGGATTGGGGTGATCATTGGGTCTCACCCCTGGCTATCACCCCTCCCTCGCTTTCCATTTATTTATTATTTTACACTCACCTTCTTTAGGTCTTTGTTCAAATGTCATCTTTTGCTTGAGGTGTTTTCTGACCACCTTTTCTAAAAGTCCACTTCTCCCTCTCTCAGCTGTATCACCCCCACTCTCTGTATGTATGTATGTGTGTGTGTGTATATGTACATATGTAACAGCCTTATTGTGGTATAATTTACACACCATACAATCTACCCAGTTAAAGTATATCATTCGGTGGTTTTTAGTGTCCTCACGGAGTTGTGCAGCCATCGCCACAATCAATTTTAGAACATTTTCATCGGCACCCAGAAGACCTTCCATGTCCTTTAGCTGTCAAGCTCCAGGGCCCGCAGCCTCCTCCCGGCCCGTCTCTCTCTGCCCGCTCTGGCCATTACATGGACATGGAATCATACATCATGTAGTGTGCTGTGATCACCTCCTTTTACTCAGCAGGAGGTGTTCAGGGTTTGGAATTGCTTGGAAGGATGGTAACTGTTTAACCTGGTGAGCAACTTTTGGAAAACTATTTTCCAAAGCGTTTACACCACTGGAACCTGCTCTACAGATACCATCAGGATAACATGTGTTATGTAGATGTCATCTCTGTCACCTCATGGTATTAGAATGTGACAGGCATGCTGATGGGTAAATGCCCGGGAAGCATGCTGAGCCCAAACTTAGGAAATCAGGAAAGGCTTCCTGCAGGAGGTGACGGAAGTGCCGGGATCTGGAAGATAAAGAGGAGATTGCCGGTTGGGGGAGAGTGCTCCCTGAGAGGGTGCACCTTGTTTCTGGAACCCGGGAGGGCTGGGCTCTGCAAGCTTCTGGGCCCCAGCTCGAGCCGGGTGAAGACGTGCGGGCCTCTGTCTGGCGTGAGGACCCAGCCCATGGCCTGTGTGTCCCTGGGCTGGGCTTGCCTTCCTGCATCCCCAGTGCTCAGGGGACTGCCTCTGCGTGTGGCCCCCAGGGCGCTGGCCCCGTGCTCTGTGTCCCCACTTTGTCCCCAGGGGCGCTTCCTCTAAGAGCCTCTCGCTGTCTCTTCCAGGCACCTTGGCCGGGGTCATCGACCTGGCCGTGGACTGGATGACCGACCTGAAGGAGGGCATCTGCCTGTCCGCCTTCTGGTACAGCCACGAGCAGTGCTGCTGGACCTCCTCCGAGACCACGTTTGAGGACAGGGACAAGTGCCCGCTGTGGCAGAAGTGGTCGGAGCTGCTGGTCAATCGCTCGGAGGTGGGTGTCCGGGCCGGGTCCTGCCTGGGGGTGCCCGCCGCTCAGTGTGGTGGGACTGTCCGTGGTGACAGCTTTGAGTGTCTGCTCATCACTCCGGGCTTCGCACCAGCACGACTTGGTTGTTCTAGCTCTAGTTTCAAACGTCAGTGGAAAAACCCTCCCCCACGGTTTCATGTGCATAAGACATGTATGTTTTAGAATGGTTTTTAAATACGTTTTTATTGGTTTTTAGGGAGAGAGGGAGAGAGAGAGAGAGAAAGAGAGAAACATTGATGAGTGAGAGAAACACCCATTGGCTGCCTCCTGCTCACCCCGCACTGGGGATCGAGCCTGCAACCTGGGCCTGTGCCCTGATGGGGAATCAAACCGTGACCTCCTGGTGCCTGAGTCAGCGTTCAATCAATTGACCCACACCCGCCAGGCAACATGTATATATTTTTAGAAATCTTGTGCTTGGCTTTGTTTCACTTAACGAGAGTAGTTTGCTGAAGAAATAACACTGATTTTGATACCTCCTAATGAAGGGACAAGATGTTATCTCTAAAAAACCACACAAATGGCCTTGGTGCCCCAGCCTTTTTGTGGCTTAGTACCATTCCGGCGCATGGGCAGACCGGTTTATTTAGCCCCCATCCGCTGATGAACAAGGCTTGCTTCCACTCCCGCTCTATTGTGGATGAGTTTGTTTTGGACATTTGTATACACGTTTTTGTGTGGGTAAGTTTCCATTCCTCTTGGGTACATACCTAAGAGATCGCTGGGTCATATGGCAAGTCCGTGTTTAGCCATTGGAGGGGCTGCCAGACTGTTTCCCAGAGAGATCGCACCATGTCACTGCCCCGCCGGCAGCGATGGAGGGTTTGGGTTTGTCCACACCCTCACCAGCACTTGTTATGACCTGTTTTCGGTCCTAGCCGTCCTAGCAGGCATGAGGGGCATCCCACTGTGGTGCAAGTTGTCATCTTCCAATGCGTTTTAAGATCGCGTTGCGTAGGAGGTTTCTGTGTATTCTATGCTGGGAACATCCCGGCAGCGGGTGGGGTGGTGCACACAGACCGGACGCTTGCCCTCATGGCCCTAGAGGTTCAGATCTGGGTAAAAATCTTAGTTTGGGCCCTGGCTGGCTTGGCTCAGTGGATAGAGCATTGGCCTGTGGACTGAAGGGTCCCAGGATCGATTCCCGGTCAAGGCACAGGCCCGGGTTTCAGGCTCGATCCCGAGTAGGGGGCATGCAGGAGGCAGCCAATCAATAATTTTCTCTCATCCTGATTCTCTCTCATCATTGATGTTTCTATCTCTCTCTCCCTCTCCCTTCCTCTCTGAAATCAATAAAATATATTTAAAAAACACAAAAAAACCCTCTTAGGTCAAAGGTCCCCTTAGATGCATGTGTTTTGTTTTGTTTTCTAAAAAATATATTTTTATTGATTTCAGAGAGGAAGGGAGAGGGAGAGAGAGATAGAAACATCAATGATGAGAGAGAATCATTGATCGGCTGCCTCCTGCACACCCCACACTGGGGATCGAGCCCCCAATTGGGCATGTGCCCTGATCAGAAATCAAACCAGTGACCTTTTGGTGCATGGGACGATGCTCAATCACTGAGTCACACCGGCCGGGCTCATTCCCAGTTTCCATGGTCACTGAGCTTTCACCGGTCGCAGGTCTGTGGAAAGTGCTCGTGGAGCAGCCGGCAGTGTCTGTGGGTGGAGTAGCAGTAGCAGCAGCCGATCCAAGCAGCGCTGCCTTTTCGCTGACACAGGACCCGCTGCTGCTGTCACAGCGGAGGGTGGGACCCTCGGGTCTGCCGGGCTCACCGGTTCCTTCCCGTTTTGTGTCTTGTTCAGGGTGCCAGCGCCTACATCCTGAACTACCTGCTGTATGTCCTGTGGGCCTTGCTCTTTGCGTTCTTGGCCGTCTCCCTGGTGCGCGTGTTTGCGCCCTACGCCTGTGGCTCAGGTATCCCCGAGGTGAGTAGGGCCGGATTTCCTCTGTGCCGATCAAGGGAACAGCAAACGCTTCCGAGCACTTGGCCAAGCACGGCCCCAAGCATTTGACATGTATTAACTCATTTAGTCCCCAATCGGTCCTCTGAGGTGGGTACTGTTACTCTTCATTTAACACATGAGGAACTGAAGCAGAGAGGTTCAGTAACTTGTCCTAGGCCAGTGGTCGGCAAACTGCGGCTCGCGAGCCACATGTGGCTCTTTGGCCCCTTGAGTGTGGCTCTTCTACAAAATACCACTCTTCCACAAAATACCGGCTCCTGCTCATGGGCCACGAAGTTTCAATCTCACTGTACGTGCGCGCCCACACGTGGTATTTTGTGGAAGAGCCACACTCAAGGGGCCAAAGAGCCGCATGTGGCTCGCGAGTCACACTTTGCCGACCACGGTCCTAGGCCACTGAGCCGGCAAGCTGGCAGTTGAACTCAGGATTTATGCTCTGTACTCAGGATTCATGCGCCATTGCTTCTCAGATGCTTGAAGTCTTGTGTTTGCAAAGCACGCAGAACCCTCAAAGCCCACGGGAGCAGCTGCATCAGCCGCACGTGTGCGTGGGGCCCTGCAGGGGGATGCGACGTGGAAGTGGATGATAGTGGAGGCTTGTTGCGCAGGTTTGCTGCTGAGTAAACTCCCTTGCCACCGTTTGCTCTTGTGGTGACAAGGTCATTGCAATTTTCACAAAACGGAATTCCACCAAAGGGCCTGCGCTGTGAGCGCCCTGGGCGTCAGAGTTCTGGCGTTTGCAGCTCTTTCCTGCAGCCGAAGCCTGAGCGGGTGACCTCAGCCACCAGAGGGGCGCCTGACACCAGACTTCAAACCAGCACGGCCTCCTGGGCGGAATGACAGGAATGGAGCGGATTCCCGGAAAGCCCGGGGAGGGACACTTTAGCCAGGAATCCACGCAGAGCAGTGCAGTTCTCTTTCGGGTCGGGGCTGCCCGTGCCCCGAGGCAGTGGAGATGGCGAGTGTCAAGATGTGAGCGAGGATGGCGACAGACCGGGGACGCACGCTGGGCCCTGCTCCCTGCGCCCACACCCTCCCTGCACCCTGCACCCACACCCTGCTCCCTGCGCCCACACCCTGCTCCCTGCACCCACACCCTGCTCCCTGCGCCCACACCCTGCTCCCTGCGCCCACACCCTGCTCCCTGCGCCCACACCCTTCTCTGCTGCCGCCAACACTGCCCGGGCCCAGGCGGTTCCTGCAAAGGGCCAGAGTCAGGAAAAGGTGGTCGAGAGGAAAGCTTGGCATGCCTTTCCAGGAACGACAGAAAAAAAATACCCTGACTATGTCATGCTGACTTTAAAAATATATATATTTTTATTGATTTCAGAGCGGAAGGGAGAGGGAGAGAGAAACATCCATGATGAGAGAGAACCATGGATCGGCTGCCTCCTGCACGCCCCCTACTGGGGATGGAGCCTGGGCATGTGCCCTTGACCGGGAATCAAACCAGGACCTCCTGGTTCATAGGTTGACACTCAACCACTGAGCCACGCCGGCCCAGCTAGAAACCTTTTTAAATGCAAATTTAGAGAACACTTTTCTGTGTAAGAAATGCGCTTGTCTAAGCTCTCCAGAGCACTTTCACGTGAACA